ATATAGCCACGAACCCCGACCTTGGAATGCAGGCGGAGACGAGTTGTGAGATCGGCAGGGGCAAGGAAGGAGGGGGGGGGACAGGGCGGCCCCCTGTGGGTTCCCTGGTTGTCCGTTGCAGGCCCTTGGCGGGGCTCCCCGAGGATGTTGAGGGCGGATAGGGGAGACGAGGAACGGAGGAGCTGGCAGGCGAGCGGATGGAGGAGGGGAGCGGCAGGAGCGACGGGGGGGTGCAAAGGAACATCGGGAGTGAAGCAGGCGGGAAGCTTCGGAAAGGGGTTGAGGTGTCTCTTTGGAAGGGTTCACGTGTTTAGCTTGTGCGTCGGGGGCGTCGCTGGTTACCTCGGGGCGGTCTTGGGCAGTCGTTGGGCCCTGTTGGGGGTCTGTTTCATGTTTTGCATGCCACCATGCGAGCCACCGGCGGAGGACAAGCTTGCGTGCCTTGCGAGAAAGAGAACAGCAAAGGAGATGATGCCTGTGGGGCGCATTCTGTTGGTTCCCGTGTTGTCCGTTTGACGTTGTGAAGCTTTGTCGGGGCGTCTGCGGCCATCCTGGGGGCCTCCAGGGCAATCCGGAGGCCCTCTTGGGGACCTCTGGGAGCGTCCTGGGGGCTTTTCTCGGGCTTCTCGGGGCCTCCTGGGGCTTCCTGGGGGCTTCTTGAGGGCTCTTGGACGCCTCTTGGGGCCTCCTGGGGAGCTCTTTGGTTCTCGCCGAGGAGCAAGATGCCAAGCCGTGGCCGTGGCCCGTGTGTCGCCAGAAGGCGCCGCTGGCCCAGGGCGCAACCTGGAAGCCCCCGAGGGAGCCCTCGGGCATCGCGACGGGGGGGGGGGGCTCCTGGAGGCCGTAGGGGCCTCCGTGGAAATCCTGGGGAGGCCTCTTAGATGGTGTCCGAGTAGATGGGGTCGAAGGATCGCGCCGCATCGCGAATGCATCGCCGATGCATCGGCGACTTCGGCGATGCATCGGCGGCGTCGGCGTGGGGAAACACGGTCTCCACATCGAGCCGCATCGTCGATGCATCGGCGATGCGGCGCGATCCTCCGACGCCACCTGCACGGACCCCATCTGGGAGGCCTAGATGGGGGCAGCCTGGACCAAGGACGCTTCTGGTGACACGCGAGTGGCCGTCAGCGTCCGCGTGCAGCCTCTGCCGGCGGTGGGGTGGGGGGTCTGGCGGTTCCGGGCGAGCGGGCGCCGCGAGCTCGGTTACGTCGTGCATATCCTCCTACAGGCGGACTTTCGACGAAGAATGGAAAATAGTGAAAGATATGCAAGAGACAATCAGAAATGGTCAAGCAATCGTCGCCGGACTACTTCTTCTTGACTACCTCGGAGCATTCCTCCTGGTAGAGGGACATGCCCGACCTAAAGCTCGGTCCGCTCCCCCCGCCCCCCCTTCTTGCCTCCGCGTGCCCACTCACGCTCAGTCGGGGATGGACAGACCCCCCTTTAGTAAAACGTGGTTTAGTGAAAACGACCTGAGGCCCAAACCTGGCGGGCGCAAGCCTGGAAAATGTCGGCCACGGCGCCCTCTCGAGAACCGAAAACGGACAATTCACTAATCGACGTGTCACTGTTGGGGGTTCTGTCCACCCCCGATTCTTGCCTCCGCGTGCCCACTCGCGCTCAGGAACTCTTGCGCAGCGCGTCGCGGCGGCGGCCCCGGCGACAAACTGTGCTGTGGCCGCAGGCGGGTGGCGTGGCCCTCCGCCTCGCCGTGGGGCCGGAGGATCCCCGAGAAGCGCGGGGCGCGGACGCTCGATGTGCTTGGCGTGTGTCGCGCCGAAGCGCGGTGGGCCAGAACCGGCGACGTGACACGCCAAGCAAACGCCCCCCTCCCCCTCTTCCCTCATTCCCCTTCCCCCTTCCCCTCTTCCTTTCTCCTTCCTCCTCCCTCCCTCCTCCCTCCTCTTCCTCCCTCCCCCCCTCCCCTCCTCCCTCCTCCCCTTTCCCCCCCTGATCGTACCCTGGGACCCAGAGCTCCAACGTATGAACAAAACGCTAAAGGCGGAGGTTTTTAGATAAACTCGGGCCCTAGGGGCCCTCGCCAGGCCTCGGGGCCGTCAACAGAACTGCTCCGGATGAAAAACCGGTCCTGGGGAACGGGTCGAGACTTCCGGGGACCCCATGTTAAACAATCACGGCGTCGGATCTCAGGGGATCCGACGTTGCACGCAAATCGCAACGTCGTGAAACATCACGCTGGGAACGAGGCGAGCCACTCTGTCAGCGCAGGGGTCGGGCGCTGGCAGGGCAGGGTTTCGTGGGACCTGGTTCAATGATGCGCGCCGGGGCGCCCGCCCTCGCCCCACCCCACTGACCAGAGCTGCCGCCACCCGAGCAAACACCAGCTGGGGCAGCTCTGGCTCTCTGAGTCTGGCAACTTTGTCGGGCTCCGGGGCCCAATCACTCATCGGCTCACCTTTCATCCGGGGTCCCGGCCAGGTCCGCCGGAGGTCTGGGAGGAGGTCCGGGTCCGACTCGCGGCGACCCTCGCGAGGCCCGCCAGCGACGACGACGACGACGACGACGACGACGACGACGACGACGACGACGACGACGACGACGACGACGACGACCAAGACGACGACGACGACGACGACGACGACCAAGACGACGACGACGATTCGTGGCGACCTCACCCGGTGCGATGGGGGGCGGACGCCCGTGTGCGCGGCCCCTGCGTGCCGACCTCCAGGGGGGGGTCTCGGCTGCCGCCCGCCCTCGGGAGGCGCGGCGGCCGGCTCTCGGCCGCCTCCTCTGCCGCAGCTGCCCTGCGCCCTCCCCGAGGGGCGCGCGGCGCGGCCCGCCGTCGGGGCCCCCAGCGCGGAGGGGGGCCGCCGGGGGCAGGCGGGGCGAAGGGCGGCGGTGGAGCTCGGGCGGGCGGGAGTGGTCGGCGGGGGGGGCCCGCCGCGGCGCGAGGCCGCGGCGGGGCGGAGGGGGCGGCGGGGCGGCTGTCCCACGCGGCCAGCGGATCCACAGAGACGGCCTCCTCGCGAGGATCGTCGGCGGCTCTCCGCGCCAGTGGCGTGGACTCACCCCGACGTCGCGGCGGCGCCGCCCCCCGCTGGCTGCGCCGCCCCAGGATCGATGCGGGGGTGGCAGGGGACGTGTCGGCCTGTGCCCCAGGCTTCGTGGGGTTGGCGAGTGGGCCAGGAGAAACACGGGGCAGAACTCGGGGATACAGGACAGCGGGGCGTGTTCGATCAGCCCCCCTGGGGCGTATCCCCGAGCCTCCCTCAGTCTCTAAGCGACTGGACTTCTCGTGGAAAAGTCGGGGGCTGGGGGCGAGAAATCGCCTGCGAAGGGGTGTTTCTGCTCGTCCTGCCGCACGTGTGCGCGCTGGCCGCAGAGCACTGCTCCAAACTTGTGCCACGGGGCCTGCTCTCTGGAAGCCATGAAGCCCAAACATGTTTTGACACCCTTGGGGCATCTTTTTGCGTCTTTACTTAGGCCCGAACTCTGCGCCCACATGGGCGAATAACGGGTATGACGCGAGATGACATGCCGACCTTGCGTGGTGGCTTGCGCGGGCCGCCAGCAGCGCGGCACGCAACACATTGGACACGAGGGCGCTGGTGCGCGACCTCACGCGGACAACTTGCGCGCGAATGTCGGCGCAGACGGCACTGTTTCTTTGCGTCGCTCACATGTCCAAGCGACAGGACGTCTCTCGACTGCACGCCAGGGTGACCCTTGGTAAGAATGACCCCTGGGGCGCGGGCTCTTTGGGGCCGCGCAGGGGGCCGAAGACGAGCGCGCAGAGACGCCGCCACCGCACCGCGCTCGGCGCTCGGGGGGGACCCCCGCAGTGGGCCCGCACCGCGAGGCCACTCCGGCGAAAGGCCGCTCCCACGCGCCGCCGAGCCTCGCCCGCTGCGGCCAGCCTTTTGAGCAGGGACCGACCGTCCCGGCATTCCTATAGAACTCAAAGCTGTTCCAAAAACAAAAGCAATGTTCTTAGAACATAAGCCCGATGTGTTCAAACAAGACAGACTCCGCCAGAAATGTTCTAAGAACACTTCGTGGAAACTACAAAAAGTTCTTAGAACATTGTTTGGTAGGGCTATAGGCGAGCCGAGACGCTTCGCCACTGCTGGAGCCTTCCGCCCGCTTCCGCCGGCGAACGCCGCCCTCCGTCCGCCCGGCCTGCCGCCGCCCTCCCCCGGGAGTCCAGCGGGAGGCCAGCTCCTCGGCGGGGCGCGCCCGGTGCGTGCGCCTGGCCGCCTCGGCGTGCGGCCCCGTGCCGGTCGGAAGGCGTGGGGCAGGGAGCAGGAGGCAGGGGGGCGGCGCCCCCCTGCTTCCTGCTCCCTGCGGCAACACCAACACCACTGACGACGCCATGCGAATCTACATAATCGACGATTCTGCTTCCTTGAACTGCGGGAAGTTGGCGCCCCGACGCCCCTCCTCTAGAGGAGAGCCGATCGTGCCCCCGCGGCGATTCCAAGGGGGCGCCGAGAGGCAGACTGGGCTCGCGCCCGCCCCCCGCAGGGGGAGGGAGGAGGCCACGCCGCCCGACCCTGGAGGCAGGAGGGCGCCTGAAGCAGACATTCAGAGGGGGAGGAGGAGGAGGAGGAGGAGGAGGATAGGGGAGGAGTTAGGAGAGGAGGAGGAGGAGGAGGAGGAGGAGGAGGAGGAGGGCCTCCTCCTCCTCCTCCTCCTCATCCTCCTCCTCCTCCCTTGGATTTGGGGATCTCAGAGTGCCTACCTTCAACGACCGATGAGCACGGCATCGCAGGCCTCGCAGGGCCCTCCGAGGCCGAGACGTCGGCGCCGACACGGGCGCGGGAGCGCCACGCGGGTCAGGTGGCCGGGCGCCCTGAGCCTGCGCGCCCTGGGCGCACACGCAGACACAGGGTCAGGGTTACGCTGGGGCGTCTCCTCCCCGCTCGCCTTTTCTTCCTCTCTCCCCCTTCGTCGTCGTCTGCTGCCGCTCCTCTTTTCCTTTCCGTCTCTCTCTCTCTCTCTTCCTCTTTTTTCTCCCTCCCCTTCCTTTTCTCCCTGTTCTTTGCAACCGAGGACGAGCGATTCGTTTCTTGTCTGATTTGCGCAAAAGTCAGATTCGTGTTCTTTTGAGATCAGTGGGCGTGGTGGAAGGCTGCAGCGACGAGAACTTGGCATCCCAAGAGCGCGAGGGGCAGCACCGCCATGAACTTTCGAGGGCCCGCGGCGCTGACGATGTCGGCGCCGAGGCTGGTAGGGCAAGAACCCTCCAATCGCCTCTGAGGTAGCCGTGCATGCTGCCCCAGCACTCTCGCTGCGCCGGAGGCCTGCTCCCGGACGATCCGCGTCACCTCTGGCTCCAGCAGCTCGCACGCCAGGCGTACGAGGCCCACCTTAAGGATCCCGTTGGCGACCCCCATGAGGAGGCCACCGAATATCCCGGCGCTCAGAGGCTGCAAGGTGAGGTCGTGGCACGTCGGCTTCATCCTGTGAACCATGATGGCAAAAGCGTCTCCAACGTTTTCGTCGTCGATCAATCCGAGAATGGTCTGGAGATCCGTGTCGACAATCAGGTCCGCTTCGAACTCAAACTTCAGTGTGGCACCCAGATTGACGGTAACCTCCATAAGCGAACACTCTCCCCATCCGTACTTTTTACCATTCCGTGTGATCGTCGCTTCGCCTTCAATCGTGAGGGAGATGGTGGTCGTGGAAATGTTCATATGCGTTCTTATGGGTCCATCGGCGTAGGAATGGGTGATGGCCAAGTCACGGAGTTTGAAGCCCGAGAGGCCACTGATGGAGTCGAGGGTTACGGAGTAGGTGAAAAAGCAAACGTTCAACGGATCGGGCACGTCTCCAGAGTCCGAGGCTATGCCTGTCAAGGGGTCTAGCTTGCTGGTCTCAGCCACCAAGAAATCATTGACTACACAAGGTTCGAGCAGGGATTGGGCGGGTGGCGTGGTGCAGAATGGGGCGCTGCTGGCACACTCCTTCGCCGCCTTGAAGACCCGGCACAGATTCACGGTGTCTGCCTTAAGAATCCCCAGGAACAAGTTCGCGAAGACCTGGAAGTTGGCCGCCACGCCTGCAGCATCACGCCACGATGTGTGCTTCTGGTCTTCAGTCAGGGGCGGCTCCAACATCTCACTTGGAAGTTCCTGCGAGATGAGGGTAGTCAGCCTTTGGGTGGTATAGCCGCACACGCGGTGCCAAGTCGAGTGAGGCTGTAACCAGCACTGCTCGAGCGTCGGTCCGATCACACCAGCTTGACGCCACTGATCCAGGTAGCTGACGGGCTTGGCCTTCGTCTCCTGCCAGAACAGAGCCTCGACGAAAACCTGGAGGCCTGAAATGAGCAGGCCCATGGCCTTAGCGATATCTCTTGGAGCATTCAGGGTGACCGCGTTGAGCTGGGTGACGAAGGTACCCGCTCCATCGCAGAATGTATCCTTCACAGATTGGGCGCCCCCCAAAAGAGCGTCGACGAGACTGGAACAGGCAAGCTCGTACATCGCTACGGCAACCGATCGTCCGAAGAGCTCATCGTGCAGTATGGCTCGAAGCGCGACGAGCGTGGTGCCCACAGCGGATACCATGTACTCGGGCATCTTCTGTGACAGAGGCTCTGCCTCTGCCTTCCATGTGTCGGGGTCCTGCGTGAATATCCGCGTCAAGTCTTGCACAGCGACCCTGGCGTCCTCGAGATATCCATCCATGCCGATCTTGAGCAAGGCCGTCTTGTCATCGGCGGGCGTCGAGGGTGACACGATCGAGTGGACGGTGGCCTGGTGAAGCAAGTAGAAATAAGCCTGCATGCCGATCACGTCAAGGAACTGCGTGGAGATCGGGGACCACGGGCCATCGTACCCTGCTGGGGGGTCGTCGCCGCCGAACGGGTTGCCGTGAAACGCAAATGATCCAAATGCCAACAAGTTCGCCGCGGCCCTGGCTTCGATGTCCCACGGCCATCCGCCGATTGACGGCAGGGGTTGAGAACACACCGTGAGGGCAAGCTGATAGAAGGCAGCGTTGGACAGAGCGTTGCAGGGCTGCTTGAGCGCGAGGCCTGGCGTGTCGCGGGCAAAGCTGCTCATGGTTGATGCGGCCGCGCTTCCGATTACCGTATTGCTGGTGTTCACAGGATTGTCCTCCTGATACTCTGATCCTACCCCGCCCTCCCACATTCTCGGATCGACCACTCGGGCGAAATGACTGTAGGGCTGCTTAGACGCCTCCCACAGATTCGGCTGCCCTCCCAGCCAATCGTATGCAGACACACCTTCGAGGCACCCCTGCAAATTCTGGAGAAGCGCCCAACTGTCAACATCGTGCGTGTCATAGCCGAAGAATTTGAATGCTGCTTCTGAGGAATAAAGCACTTCCGTGTCTGTTAAGGGATCCTCCATCCCTGGGCAACTGCTCTCATCGAAGGTTGTCCTCTGCGCCACTCGGCGAATGAAGGCTTCCTGTTCAGAGGAGTACAGCTGCGTTTCCGACCCACAGGACACAAGCAGGAGGGCGGGCAGCCCTTGGAGCAGTAGCATAGGCGCCAGGAAAAGCAAGTGCAACCAACGCCAAATTCCACTAGCGACGCGAATACGATGCTGATGATGAGACAACTGGCCTTGAGCCTAACAACTGCTTGAGCCGTACGCGACGGAAGTGTAAGTTTCGTGTTTTTCTTGTTTGTTATATTTTTGTTGCTGGTGTGTTGTTTTCTATTTTACTATTTTGTTTTGTGTGTTGAACTTATCTTTCGGCCTCTTGGTGTGTCAACGAAGTCACTGCTGGATCCGCCCCGAGATTCTGGCTAGAGCACACCCCGTGAGGATTAAGCGGGTCGGTTTTGGCGAGAGCCCAACACTTTTTTGCTTTTTTGCTTGTGTTTGCGCGACTCTTCCCCCTTTCGGGTTGATGAAGGACTGTGCTACTTGTTGTTGTTGTCGTTGTTGCTGCTGTTTTTTGTTGAATTTCTTGTTGCTGTTCTTGTTTTTGTTCTGGCTCGTAAGTGCCCCCCTCGGAGCTTGCACCCTGTTTTTTTCATACCTGTACGACCACCCTTCGGGTGATACGGAGGCTCGGGGGGGGGGGAGGAACCAATGTCTCACTCAATCGGGCTCACTATCGATCTCACTATCGATCTCACTATCGGTCTCGATCGATCTCACTCGATGGATCTCACAATCGATCTCACTCGATCTATTTCATTCGATCGATCTCACAGTCGATCTGACTATCGATATCACAATCGATATCACTATCGATCTCACAATCGATCTCACATTCGGTCTCACTATCGATCTCACTATCGATATCACAATCGATCTCACAATCAACGTCATCATCATCAACATCATCGTCATCAACGTCATCAACATCAGCATCATCACCATCATCGGGACACCATCACCATCATCACCTCATCACCATCATCATCAGCACCACCATTTTCATCTTCACCACCGTCATCATCATCGGGACAGCATCATCGTCACCACCACCATCAGCATCATCATCATCATCATCATCATCATCATCATCGGGACACCATCATCATCATCGTCACCATCGGAACACCACCATCATCATCATCATCACCATCTCAAACTCATCACCATCATGAACAACATCATCAACATCATCATCATCGGGACACCATTATTATCAGCAACATCATCATCATCAACATCATTATCGTCGGGACACCATCAACAGCGACACCATCATCATCATCATCATCATCACTATCGTCAGCATCATCATCGGGACACCATCATCATCAGCATCAGCATCAGCATCCTCACCATCATCGGGCCACCATCATCAAAATCATCATCATCACCTCATCATCATCCTCATCATCGGGATCACCATCATCGGGGCACCATCATCGTCATCATCATCATCATCATCATCAACATCTTCATCATCATCGGGACACTATCATCATCAACATCAGCATCAACAGCATCATCATCAACCTCACCATCGGGACACCATCATCGTCATCTTCATCATCATTATCTCACCAACATCTCATCACCATCCACATCATCATGATCATCAACATCATCATCATCATCATCATTATCATCATAATCATCATCATCATCATCATCATCATCATCGGGACCCCATCATCATCATCAACAACATCAACATCAACATCAACATCATCATCATCATCATCATCATCATCATCATCATCATCATCATCGGGATACCGACGGGATACCGGCGGGACACCAACGGGACACCGCGGGCCACCGGTCCCCGGAAAAGAATCACTTGGTCCGGCCGCGCCTCAGCCGGAGGCGGGACACCGGTGGGACACCGCGCGCCACCGGCCCCCGGAGAGGAATCATTTGGTCCGGCCGCGCCTCAGCCAGAGGAGACTTTCTTCTCGCCCGCCCACGCAGCTTCGCCTCGCCCGCACGCACGGCACGCACGAACACGAAACCGAAACGATTTCCTGGTAGGGGGGCTCTCCGTTCCACTTCGATCTCACCCCCTCATCTCCGATCAAGGGAAATCTTCCTGCTCAAACTGTGTAGCAAGAACAGCGGCTCCCGCCTGATACTTCCTCACGCTTAAATGCAGGAATCGCGCTCTCGCGCGGGACTTCCTCACACTTGATGAAGGGAGATCGCGCTCCCGCGTGGGACTTTCTTGCAAGTTACTTAGACGCCGCGCCCTCGACACTCAGGAATCACGCTCTCGCTTTGGCCTTTCTTGCGATTTACTTGTGAGTCGCGCTATCGCTCGAGACTTCCTCGCGATTCATGCTGCAATGTGCACGCTTCAGCAACCCGCCTGCTCGACCTGGCCGCCTGGGCTCGCCTTCCCGACCCGCCCGCTAAGGTCTGCCCGCCCGGTCTGCCTGTCTGGTTCTGCCACGTGCTTTCTGCTCCTAACCCCGCTCCTGCTAATTTCTCTCCTGCTCCATCCCTCTTCCTCCCCCTTTCATCCGTCCTCTCTTCCCATATTTTAGGGGCTGCACTAAATGCACGTGCCAGGTACTGAAGATATACCCCCAAGGGGGTACGATCGAAGAAGAAGAGGGCGGATACCGAGGGCTTGGGATATACATGTTAAGTGGCACACGAGCAGATAGGAGCGAATCTTCTCAAAATGGTTGTTGTTGTTGTTGTTGTTATTGTGGTTGTGGTCGTGGTCGTGGTTGTGGTTGTGGTTGTGGTTGCTGTTGTTGTCGTTGTTGTTGTTGTTGAACATTATTAATTCTAAAGAATAATTATTGTTGGGGCCCCTGGTGCGCGCCCCCCCTGCGCCGCCTAGGCCGCAGCTACATTTTCATCATTTTCGTGAGGAAGCCTCAGGTAATACGATGTCATCAAGATCCGGTTGTTTTGTTGTAATCCGCTTTCCCTTGCAAAAAACAATAGAAAATGACATCTCTTGTTCTAATATAATCAAATTTCAAGAATCCCTTGCAAAAAATAAGGTAAAGTGGACATTCGCGCGCGCAAGACGAAATCCTTCCAAAACCTTAGTGTTCGCAGCGATTTTAACATAAAAACATCAAAAAACCAATGTTTTCAACAAAAAATTGTCAAAATCTCATCCCGCGCGCTCTTGCGGATTCGTAGGAAACCCAACACTTTTTAAACATTTCTGTCAAACGGGCTTTTGCGAGCAACTTTTTCGAACTTCTGCGACAACGGTTGCGCACCTGCCAGGGCCATCATCCCTGTCAAATAATACCATGCGGGACACATTCGTTTTTTCTTCGCGCGCGCACGCCGTCGTCGTCGGCCGCGGGGCCCTGAATAGTAGCCACGGTCGTCCGCATGCCACGAAGTGAAGTGTCCGAACGTCATAGGGCGGGAAGCTGGGTGTGGGTGTGGCGAAGAGTCGTTTGGAAATTTGGTAGAGCTTGAACCGGCCCCCCCACAAAGTGGGGGTATTGCCCGCCTCCTATGAAAACCCTGGCACTGGTGAGAACGGAGTGTCCCCAGTCTTAAATGATTGTTGTTGTTGTTGTTGTTGTAGTTGTTGTTCTTATTGTTGTTGTTGTGCATCGTTGGAGGGCTCGGGCCTCCAACGTCTTGTCCCAAACCACGGCAGCTGGCTATCCTCTCATGCTTTCGGTGTCTGGGGGCTGGTTCCGGGCCCTTGCACCGTACAACAACGACTTGGGGCGGTAAGCTGGTCCCGAGGGGGCCGATGACTCCGAGGACTATAAGCGTGGCGGGCGCGTGTGGGCGAATTACATAAGCTCTCGTGGATTTGACGTAGTGTTACATGCTCTCGGGGTTGGACAGAGCCCTCTCTAGCAAAACACCCTTAGTGAAGACGACCTGGGACCAGATCCAATCGGCGCAAGCCCACAAGGAATACGGCCGCAACAACTTCTCGAGACCCGAGAAAAGACAATCCGAGAACTTTGGGGC